AATCGGAAGCAGGCTCCAGGCTCCGAGCTATCAGCACAGAGCCCCGCTTGGGGCTCAAACTCACGGACTGCGAGATCCTGACCTGAGCCCAAAGCAGACGCTTAACCGACTGAGCCGCCCAGGCGCCCCTGGGTTCATTATACTGTTATTTTTACTTCTTCTGGTCTTCTTTCTAATTTCCAATAATCCACACTGGGGTCTTCGTTTATGGCTGCGGAGAAACCTCTCCCCCGCCCGCTGAGCACGGTGGGGAAGGGAACCCACCCAGCCGTCGGCCCCCTCCCGTTTTTGTTTTCCACTGTTGTCATGGTCCCACGCCCTGTGGGTCCTCCACGCCCTGTGGCCACATGTCCTGCAGGTACAGACAGAGAGTGAGAGCTCAGAGGAGACAGGAAAACCGCGTCTCCCTTGTGGTTCACATCCCAGGGCTTCTGAGGTGTCGGGCAGGGCCGGGCTGTGACGCAGAACCACAGGGTCAGTGCTGGTCTGCCATCCATGGAGGGCAGGAGGCCTGTCCTCTGCACCTCACAGATGATGCCGGACGGTTTCTGAAGCCCCATCCGGCTTTAAAAGGCCAGGCTCTAAAATCTGCGTTGTCACTTACATACTTGAAGGTATTTAATTCCTATACAAGGATCTTACTGGTTTTATGTGGTGAATGAACGAATGACCATGTCAGAACTTAAGACGGATCGGAAATGATCTCTGACACTCTTACATGTTTTTACTCAGTACCTCTCTGCCCCCTTTTCCTCGCGGCAGGGCCAGGCTCTGGAGCAGGCCATTATCAGCCAGAAACCACAGCTGGAGAAGCTGATCGCCACCACGGCCCACGAGAAAATGCCCTGGTTCCACGGCAAAATCTCACGGGTCGAATCGGAGCAGATTGTCCTGATCGGATCCAAGACAAATGGAAAATTTTTGTAAGTACGGTCTTCTTCCCTGTCACCTCCTACCGACGGGCCCGCTTGGACTGTTGGGGTAACTTGGCTTCCCCCTTCCTGGAGCCCACGTGGCTCCGGGGAGGGCTCACACACCGTCACAGGGCACCACCCACGCGGCCCGCCGTGAAGACGTTCCCAGACAGAGATGCCGCTCGTAACCCAGCATTTGTCACCCAGTCCGAGCCCAAAGTGAGCACTCTTCTCGGGCACAGGGGTACGTGAGTTAGAGAAATGGTATCAGCCACAGAGCTTGCTTTACGTGCCAGGATAGGGCACGTGACGATCGTGGGCGTCCATCTGAAATAAAAACACCGTGTTTGTTCACTCAGTGCCCCAAGGTCTCAGACTTGACGTCTCTCTTTCCTTGGAACTACATGGCACCACTGAGGCAGATAATCGAAGAGAATTTGCCGGGAGTTTGAACGGTTTCCTTGTTAACCTTAGCGACCGATGGGCCTCAGTACTCGGGATCCTGGAGACTCAGGCCACCTTGGAGCGGGGTCAGGGGTCAAGGACAGCACCGTGCTGTCTTGGGCAGGTGTCGGCCTTATTCCCAGAGGAGCTGTAGCCGGGGACGTGCCCACCTGTTTGTCACTGCTCAGGTGCTAAGCCGGTGCCTCAGAGGACAGTCATTCGGTCTCACCTTGGACCCTTACAGATGGCACTTGGCCCCGTGGTCAGGCACGTGCACTCACTCACACCCAGCTGACTTTTAACTGTTCCCAGAACTAGGAGTGTTTTTGCTGAGTATACATCTATTAAGAATTTTTTATTCAGATTTTACCATAATAGCTCTTACTTGAAAAACGATCTTAAACGCAAAACTCTTCTTTGAAAAGTGATTCTGAAAACAAGAGCGGGGTAGCCCAGGTCGGTACACAGCGGGTGCTGGAATGCTGATTTAGCAGCCTCCGTAGCAGCCTCCAGCAGAAATCGTGTGCGGGAGATATTTGTTCCTCGGGTGGCCCCTGTCAGCTCATTTCCCCCTGAGGTTTGGACTTTTACCGTCTTCTTCGGAATCATTTCCAGCACAAACGTCTGGGCCTGCGTGAAGTCAGCCCCGAGTGATGTAATCCAAAGAGTGAGCGAGGCCTCTCTCCTCGCGGGTCCAGCACCTGATCCCGGGCTCACTGGAAAACAGCTGTGGTCAGAGACAGCGGCCTGCTCCCGGCTCAGACGAGGGGCCCCGCCCTGGGACAGCCGAGGGCCCAGCCAGCTGCCAGTCCCTTCCCCAGGGGTCTTCTCCTGCCTCGTCCAGGTTTTCCTATAGAATGTCTTTCCTGCTGCTTTCCAGTCATTTCGGTTGACTTACCGCCCGCGAACCAGCATTCACTAGAATCCATAGCTGTGGAGGCACTGAATGCCGACGCCACTCGGCACGTTAGAGAGGAGGTGTAAGCACGCCACTGTCTGCCTCCCGAGCCACACATCTCAGTGGGAGAAACAGGCACCGAACCGTAGAACAGGAGCCGTGGAACAGGTGGCTGTGCAGAAGGAAGGGGACAGAGCACGCGTGTGGGTGCCCTGGGCCGGTGGACGTGTGCCGCAGGGCCGGGCCTGGGAGGACTGGCGGGCGCTAGAAGGGGGGCGCTGTCCACCTTCAGGAGGGTGTCAGGGCGGGTTCAGCTCTGGTTCGGTGGGACCCGCCTGGCTGGGTGTAGAAAAGAGACCATGCAGAGATGCAGGAGTACGGACACTCAGAGGCCACCCTGTGTGGTTCGTGTGTGCTTGAACCCAAGTGCGGTGTTCGTTAGTCTCCAGACGTCAGGGCTTTTGCGTTCTGGTGCCTGAACGCAGGAACCCTGTGGATGCTTGTTGGACACAGGGACGTGGGTGCTGGTGCGTGGCCCTGCCCCGTGGCTCTGTGCTGTGCTCTGTGCACCCTGGCCAGGGCCGGGGCTCTGTGTCTCTTCTGCGCACACGTGCCCTTCTCGTGAGCACTGTTCCTCTGTGTCTGCTGGGGACCACGGCACGTGTTTCCGTGAGGCGGAAGGCGGGATTTCAGGATGAACACTGCCGCGTCCGTCACCCTTCTGTTCCCCCGATGTTTACGGTTCCTTGTCCGGCCTCGTCTTACTGCCGGACTTGCCCCACGCGGGGCTGGCCGTCTGGCTCTGCATTGCTGCTGTCCTACATGGGTCTGTTCCCAGCCCTTCTAGGACACGGTCTGGCTCCAGTCAGCGGCCTGCCGGGTGCTTCCCACACCCCCACCCCCTCCGCACGGCCTCGCTCGGGGCACTTGTTTCTTTCATGACCCCGTCTTTGACCCCAAGGCCAGCCTGCCCTCCCTGGGACCTCCCGGCAGCACCTGGCGGAATCGACAAGAGTCTAAGAGGCTCTCAGATCCAGAAACAGAACCTAATTTTTGTGGCTCTTAATAATGGGCATCATGAACTTGATTTAAGATAAGTTGGCGCATGTCAGTGTGCTGTGTGTAATGCCTAGCGCTTGGTCGGAGGGTAATAAATACAGATCTCCTCTACTTATGATGGGGTTATGTCCCGATAAACCCTTCGTAGGTGGAAAATACAGTAAGTGGAAAATGCATTTAATATACCTACGCTACTGAACAGACACCATAGCTGGGCCTCGCCCGCCGTGAGTGCACTCAGAACTCATAACGTGAACGTACTGTTGGGCTAAGTCATCGACCGAAGCCGATCTGATAGTCAAGTGTTGACAGTCTGGTGTGGTCTCTGGAGCACTGGGCCGAAGGGGACACACAGAACCTATCAACGTTGTCAGTGCTGAATGCGTCGTTCGCCATCTTGACAGCGTGGATGCCTGGGGGCCGTGGCGCCCTCCCCAGCATCACAGAGAGAACCCTGCCTCACATCCCCAGCCCGGGAAGAGATGCACCTTCAAACTCTGAAGTATGGTTTCTACCGGATTACTGTCACTCTGTGTCCATCGTAAAGCTGAAAACTCACAAGTGGAACCATCGCGACTTGGGGACTGCGCGTACAAGCTGATTTTGAGTCTTGAACGGCCACAGGCAGCAGGGGCCAAGGGGCACCTGTGGGAAATCCCGAATGTTTGCAGTTTCGGCTTAAGTAATAACATGGAGAGTCAAATGGGGAAGTGAGAGAGTTCATTCTAGAACCTCCGATTTACATGACGGTTCAACGTGGCCAGACCCCTCTCCTGGGAAAACACATGCCCTGTGCCACCCCTAGAAATCACGGAGGAAGAGGCAGAAGTGTTTCGAAAAGGCCTACGTGAGGTCGTGAATCTTTGCCATGACGGTTTAGGATGCAGAAGTTAAATCTTGGGAACTGCTAACCACCAAGAGAGGCCGTATCTGGGGGACGCCGGCCAACGCAGATCCAGTTTTCTCTCCTCACGAATGACAGTGGGAAGTCCATTTGTGGGGGCGGAATACTTGAGCCAGAAGGGACCTCACTGCCATGAGTGTAAGTCCTTGGTTTTCAAAGGGGAACTGAGGCACGAGGGAGCCTACCCCAGGTGGTCAGGCGAGTGGGAGTTGAGAGCCAGGCTCCAGGGTCCTGATGGCTCTGGGCTAAGAGTCCAGGGACCCCACCACCAGCAGCTGCGTCCTAACCCCGCGCTCTCCGTGCAAGGCATGGCTCCAGGGCGCGTCCACGGGACATGTCAGCCTTTCCCCTGTCCCGTGTCCTGTCCACACAGCCTACCCGGGACCATGCGGGTCTCGAGGGTGGACCATGATGGGATTGGGGCCCTTTTAGGAAAAGGAGACTGGAGTTCTCTGTGCATGCACACATAAGGGCAAGGCCATGTGAGCACCCAGCCACGGTCCTGCGGGTTGGGGGTCTGCCTTCTGGGGACACCAGGGCCCAAGGGCTTCGCGAGGGTGCAGCCCTTCGGATCTCTGAAACCTCACATGATGACAGGGTTTGCCGTTTTGAGAAATTAGTCACAGCCCAGGTCTCCCCGAAAAATGAATTTGTTCGAAAAGGTAAACAAAATTTCTTTTGCAAAATTTGTATCCCCCTTCCCCCAAAGGAAGGACCCAGGATTGGTGGGGTCCAAAGCGTATACGGTTCGAAGATCTTCTTTTCTTTTTATTTTTTTTTTAAGTTTTTTTTTAATGTTTATTTATTGGTGAGAGGCAGAGAGAGACAGAGCATGAGTCGGGGAGGGGCAGAGACAGAGGGAGACACAGAATCCGAAGCAGGCTCCAGGCTCCGAGCTGTCAGCGCAGAGCCCGACG